CAAAGAGCATTCCACCCACACCCTCTCCACTATCTTATCCCTATAAACCTACATTTCCATGGCCAATCCACCTAGCCTGCACATGGTTGGACTGCGGGAGGAAACCCAAGGGTGGAATCGAACCAAAACTCCTGGTGCTGTGAGGCAACAGTGCTAGCCACTATGCCACCATACAGCCCTTATATTTCAAGGTATTAATGAAAGAAAGTAAGAAAGCTCACACTGTGGGTATCCCAAAGGTTTACCTAGACTCTTGATACCTCTAGGTCCCTAGTTTGATGCCAATTTGACTGATTGCAAACAGGCTATTTTCAGCCAGAAGCACAGTAAGAATTAATGAAACTCTCCCCAGTTAGACTCTTAGGATTAGGAATAGATTTACTCGAATCTTAAGTTTGTTTCTTTCAATTATTTTAAAATGTGTCTTCCACGCCTGCCCAACTTATTCAGTTATCTGCAATAGTCAGAAATAGAGGAGAAAAGTCTGTTATGATTGCTTCCTGAAGGTTTTTTTCATCAAACCTCCTCTCTTCAAACAACCCATCACCACAGCCCTAATCCATTGGTCACACATGTTCATTAGACCTTCCCATAACTAATTGTACCAGTCAGGTGGCCTTTACTTTACCATTCCCAACGTTTTTAAACTGATGCGTTGCAAGAAATCAATAAATAAAATAAAGAACCACAGATGCTGGAAATCAAAAACAAGAATAGAAATTGCTGGAGAGACTCAGCAGGGTCTGGCAGCATCTGCAGAGAGAAAACAGAGCTAAGGTTTTGAGTCCAGTGACCCTTCTTCAGAACTGAGAGTTTCAGTTCATTTCCACCAACAATCTCGAGGCATTTAAAGAGAGGTGGGCACCATGGGGGCTGGAGTGCATTGTCTCCCTCTCCAAATCCATTTTAGATTAGTCCCCTCCCTCTCCACCTATCCTTCCTTTATTACTGCTGTCATTGTACTTCTCCTGATGGGCAGAGCTTGTAGAGACAAGTGGTATTAATGCTTGACTATTAATCCTGAGATGGCAGTAATGATCTAGGTACCTGGGTTCATAATCCAACTGTGGTAGAATTTGGAGTCAATTAAAAATCTGGAATTAAGAGTGTAATGATGACCCTGAAACCAGCGTCGACTGTCAGAAAGACCCATCTGGTTCACTAATGTCCTTTGGGGAAGGAAACTGCTATCCTTACCTGGTCTGGCCTACATGTGACTCCGGACCCAAAGCAATGTGGTTGACTCTTAACTGGCCCCTGGGCCATGAGGGATGGGCAATAAATGCTGCTCTAGCCAGTGATGCCCACATCCCATGAATGAATAAAAAATATTGTTTGTTTAAGTCATTAAATAGTGTGGGGAAGGGGAGGATTGTAGTCGGGGTGGTGATAGCCTATGTGGTATTATCGCTAGACTGTTAGTCCAGAGACCCAGATAACATTTGGGGACCTGAGTTTGAATCCTACCATTGGAATTTGAATTCAATAAAAACCTGGAATTAATAGTCTAATGAGGACCATGAATCCTTGTTGATTGTGAGTGAGGTAAATCCCATCTGGTTCACTAATGCCATTCAGGGAAGGAAACTACCATCCTTACCTGGTCTGATCTACAAGTGACTCCAGACCCACAGCAATGTGGTTGCCTCCGAACTTCCTTCTGGGATGGGCAATATATGCCGACCTAACTAGTGATCTCCTCATCCCATGAATGAATAAAAAATTGGGGAATTATTTGGTGTGTCTTTCAACAAAAAGACCAGTCAAAGCTTGGCTGAATAGTTTGACCGATAAAGCTTAGGTTGTGTTGTGCTACACACTTTGATGCTGAATGCTATTTGGGTCTAAACTTTCAAAGTTTCAAGCATATTAGTTTTCCATTGGTTTCAATTCATGGATTATGCTCTAGTAAAACACTGAGCATTGATCTCTCACTTAATAATAAAACTGCAACACCCTCCAAGGATTAAATTTGGAAGAAACAGTTTGATATTGTGGATGCACAAGCATTGCTCCATCTTGTGGTGGCATTGGCCAAAAACACAGCCTTAATAAAAACAATAGTGATTTTATTTTCACTGGAAACCTGAGCATGAGGTCAGGGCCTGGTGATGTGTTCATTTATTAACAATGGTGTAATTCTGTTGATTACTCACTCAACACAATGACTCATTGCTGGATTATCTCTAAACTGGCAATGACCATACCAGCCTGGAATCCATTTTATCCCTGCCACGTGAATTGTTATTGTCTTAGCAAACAGTTTATCTGGAAGTAATAGTTTATTTCCTCACAACGGACTATTCCCCTGATCAGCTCTTCATCAGAGACGTCTTCGTTGCTTATCGGTGGTTCTAATCATACAATCACATGGCACAAGAGGAGGCCATTCAGGTCATTGTAGATGTGCCAGCTCTTTGTCAGAACTATCTTCTCGTGAAAAAGAACTTGTTTTTCCCTCATACTCTTTGGCCAGTGATTCCAGATCTCAACAACATTCTCCGCTAGAGACAAAACCTCTTTAGGTCCGTGCCGTATTCTTTTTATTCATTCGTGGGATGTGGAAATCACTGACAAGGCCGAGCCTACAACCCAGCGGTCACAATATGGACTTTACTAGTTTCAAAATCTCCCCACTCTGGCCTCATCCCATGACCAACCCTCCCTCTCAGCCCCGCCCCCTTGACCTGACACAACCTGTCCATCTTCTCTCCCACCTATCCACCCCTCCTGCCTCACTGACCAATCCCCACCACTCCCTACCTGCACTCACCTGTCACCATCCCACCTGCCTTCCCAAGCCCCACATCTCCTCTCTATTTATTTCAGGGCTTCCTTCCCCCTCCCTGTTTCTGAAGAAGGGTCCCGACCCAAAACGTCAGCTTTCCTGCTCCTCTGATGCTGCCTCCAGCTCCACACTGTGTTATCTCTGACTCCAGCATCGGCAGTTCTTACTATCTCTGAGCATTTTCTGAACATGTCCAAATTCCCCCAAAGTTATGTGGAAGCAAAGAACAGGTTTCTGTTTAAAATAGTTGAGCCTTTGTTTTCTACCGATGCTGGGCTCTGTCACTCAAAGGCAGCACCATGTGCTTTAGCCTCGCCAATATGCTCTGGAGTCAAGTGGAAGGTTGTGGGTAAAGCTACAGTGCCTGGCTTTTGTAGAGAGAAGAGACATGCGCACAATGGTGTATCTGGATGAGTACTTCACTGGTGGCTGGGTGTTATGGAGGGACAGTAACTGGATGAGCTCATTACTCTCCACAGCCACAAACAGTTTGAAACAATTCGATCACTCAGTAATCCATGCAGATTAATCGATTTGTTTGTGGCCTCGACTGGACACAGAATTTCATCCGGTGTCTTTGATGATCTCAGGACGTTCCAAGACACTTCACCACTGATTGAGTGCATGTGAAATGCAATTGTTGCTGTAATATAGGAGGCGTAGTTTGTGCACAGCAAGCCCCCACAAACAGCAAGGGTGTTTTTGTTTTATTCATTTGTGCTGAGTGACACTGTCCAGCCCAACATTTATTGCCCATCCCTAATTCATTTTCGGAAGGTGAGGGTGAACTGCGTGATCATAGTAAACCGTGGCACTAGAAAGAGAATTCTCTGGTTTTGAGCCAGTGACAGTGAAGGAACAATACAGTTGCCATTCAGGGTGTTGGATGAATTGGAGGTGAGTTTGCCGCTGGGATGGTGTACCAGTGAATTGTTGCCGTCATCCTTCCAGGTGACAGGAAGTTTGGAAGATGCTTTTGATGAAACCTTGGTGAATTTCTGCAGTGCATCTTGTAGATAGTACACACAGCTGCTACTGAGCTTTGCTGATGAAGGGAGTGAATGTTGAAGGTGTTAGATGTGGTACCAAACAAGAGGGCTGCTTTATCCTGGATGGTGTTGAACATCTTGGGGGTTGTTAGAGCTGTAATGATCCGGGCCAATGGAGAGAATTCCATCACACTCCTGACTTGTGGCGTGTATTGGTGGGCAGGCTGAGGGAAGCCAGGAAGTCAGTTACTTGCTTCAAAATTATGAGCTTCTGATCTACTTTTGTAGCTACATGATTTCTATGGCTGGTCCAGTTCTGTTTCTGATCAGTGGAATGTTGTTGATGATGGGAGATTCAGCGATAGCTTGCCATTGAATGTCAAGGGGGCAATGGTCGGAGTCTTTCTTGTTGGAGATGAACTTTACACTTGTGTGGCATGATTATCACTTGCCACTTATCAACCCAAGCCTGAATGTTGTCTAGGCTTTGATGCAATGGCCACGAACTGGTTCGGTGTCTGAGGAGTTGTGAATGGTGCTGAGCACTGAGCACGGCAAACAGGTTCAATTTGGACCTTATGATGGAGGGAAGGTCATTGATGAAGCAAGTAGGATAGTTGAGCTGAGGACATTACCATGAGGAACTCTTGTAGTGCTGCCCTATGAGCAGGTTGTTTGACCTGCAACAACCATAACCATCTTCCTTCATAATCAATAAGATTTTAACCTGGAGATAGATTTTCTCCCTGACTCAACCTCAACTTTGCTAGGACACCTGATGGCTAACTGACTGCTATCCTGATTCTCAATGGTGTTTATTGAGGGATAAATAATCACCAGGCCACCGGGTAGTGCCTGCCTGCTTTTCCTCAAAGTAGTACCATGAGATCTTTGGAGTCCAATTGATCAGGCAGACAGAGCTCTGGTTTCATGTCTCTGGCAAAATGCAGCAGCTCCTAATGATGCAGCTCTCTCTCAGTCCTTTGGGGAGCAATAACCCTTTCATATTAGGTCTAAGGAATGGGTCCTTCAACTCAGAATTTTCAACCTCTGGGGCAAGCAAGCCACCAACTGAAACAAACACAGAGAATGCTAGAGAAGCTCAGCAGGTCTGGCAGAGAGAAACGGGGTTACGTTTTCGAGTCCAGTATGACTCTTTTTCAGAGCTGAACCAGAGCTACCAACTGAGCGACAGCTGACAAAATAATGACTCCTCCCCTCACCTCTCCCTCTGCTAGGACCGTGGCTCCAATAGTGTTCACGAGCAAGGAAACTGCTGCAGCTGGTCCTGTGATGTAGGAGGATCCAGTATCGACTATGGCTGCACAACCTTTACGACAGAACAGCATCTCTCCACCGACTGAAATTCTAAGGGAGGAGAAAAGAACAAGAATTTGTGAAAGAAATCTCTTCTTGACCTCAACAGTGATGAAACAGATCTGAACCCATTGATATTCTTACTGTCTGCTAGACATTGCAAGCTGCAAGTTAGGAGGAAGAAGAAGTCATGGACTGAGAGAAGCTGACAGCACAGAAAAAGATCCATCGGCCCATTGCATCTGAGCCTATCAAAACCACCACTTGACCCTTGTATGCTTTGGCATTGTAAGTGTACATGGCAATACTTCTAAATGTGATGAGTGTTTCTGTCTTATGGGTGGTGCACTCCAGATTCCCACCAGCCTCTGGGCAAAAACGATTTTCCTCAAATCTTCTCTAAACCTCCTCCTGCCCCTTACCCTGAATCCCTGCTCCCAGTCAAAGAACCCTCCATTAAGAGGAAAAGTCTCTTCCTGTCTGCCCTATCTATGCCCCTCATAACTTTATACACCTCAATCATGTCCCATCTCAATCTCCTCTGCTCTAATGAAGATAATCCCAGTCTGTCCAGTCTCTCCTCATCTTCTGAAACTCTCCAGCCCAGGCAACATCCTGGTAAATCTCCTTTGCACTGTCTCCAGTGCTATCACATCCTTCCTATTATGTAGATTCCAGAACTGCACACAATACTCTAGCTGTTGTCTAACCAATGTTTTATACAGTTCCAGCATAACCTCCCTGGTCTTAAACTCTATGCCTCAGCAAATAAAGACAAGTATATCATATGCCCTCTTAACCACTTTACCCACCTGCCCTGACAAGTTAAGGGACCAGTGTACATGCACACCAAGGTCCCTCTGATCCTTGTTGTTTCCCAGGCTCCTACTGTCCATCATGTATTCCCTTGCCTTGTTTGTCCTGTCCAAGTGCATCACCTCATATTTATCCGGATTTAATCTAATTTGCCACTGATCAGCCTATCTGACCAGCCTATCTATGCTCTCTTATAATCTTAAGGCAATCTTCCTCACTATTACCACCTTACTAATGTTTGTAATGTCTGAAAAAAGTGTTGATCAATCCTCCAACATTCATGTCTAAATTATTTATATAAACCACATACAGTATGGCCCCACACTGGCCCCTGAGGGACGTCAGACTTCCAGCCAGATCCTGAAGAAGGGTAATACCCAAAACATTGACTGCTCCTTTCCTCCAGATGCTGCCTGGCCTGCCTGTGTTCTTCTAGCCTCCTGTTTGTCTACCTTGGATTCCAGCATCTGCAGTTTTTTTGTCTCTAAGAAAAAAATCCCATAACCATCACCCTCTGCTTCCTGCCACTCAGCAAATTGTGGATCCAATTTCCCAAATTTCCTTGGATGACACAGGCTTTTACCTTTGCTGTCCATCTCCCATATGAGACCTTATCCAGACTATGACAATTAGGGATGGGATTTGCAAGGGTAGCCACTTTATATCTCCACAGTGAAGGTAGCTCTCAGCTGGTAGCACTCACAGCTTTGAGTTTGAAGGCTGTGGATTCAAGTCTAACAAAAACCTTGGTTGATAGTCCCAACGCAGCTGACTTTCTACTGTATCTTTCATGATGACCCAACACTGCAGTTGATGAAATATCTTTGAAGTATTGCCCCCTGCTGTGAAACAGGAAGCACACCAGTTCATACATAGAAAGATTTTTACAGTATTTATTGAGGAATAAACATTGACCAGGATGGTATCTTCCTTTGGATTAGGGAAATGGAATATTCTGTATCTAGGGCAGACAGGGAGTAGGATCAATGTTACTTAAACAAAAGTCTGCATCCCGAACAGCACAGCACACCACCGAAATGTCAACTTGGATATCTACAACTATGTATATTGGCTGGGACTAAGTGAGGACAGTGATTAGTGAATGGACAGGTGACCATTGATATCTTGAAGATCTAACAGTGTCAATGATTGTCATGTACATATAACTGTGGTATATTTATGTAAAAAATACATTTATAAATTAGAAACCAAGCCAATAATTTTTTACCTTTTATTCCCCTCTGTTTTGTTCTTCCATAACTCTATAATGTTTAACGTTAACTTCTACTTCATTTTTAACTAAAATCTCTTTTCTGGCTACCCATATTCCTCTTTTCTCTAAAACAAACTGTCTCCAAATCACACCATCCATCCTGATTAAGTTACACAAGTGAAGGATTGTTATAAAAGGCAGAACCGTTAAATGTTAACAGTGCTCTCTTTGTACACACTAATCTTTAAGCAGTTTACCACATGCCACAATTGAAATCAGTGCCGATGCTGATTGAAGCTGTGTAAGAGGGATCGCTCTGAGAGCTTGCAGTAAGGAGGCTTACCCTTTCAGTTCGATTTGCCAGTAGCCTTTCTTGAGCAGGTTCAGATAGTGAAACTCACCACTGTAGTAGGAGGGGTCTGAACCCCCAAGTATCACCTCTCCACCTGGAGTCCCTCTGGAATTTCTGTGTAAATCAAGAACACACAGCTAAAAACAAATCAAAGCAAGAGAAAGGCGAGACAGCTGGGAGGGAGCAGAGCAGACCGTTATTCCCTTCGACTGCCATGTGAAATTATCTCAATCTTTGGAATGAGGTCTCCCCACAAATTGACATAGAATTTCTCTTAGAGTGGCCACACAACACTCAAAGTGGGATTGCCAACTCTGGATGTAAACCTGAAACAGGTCAGAAATTCTTTCACAAGTAACATCTCAGAAAGCCTGACCACAAGGCACAGGTCAGGAGTGCGATCCATTTGCCTGGATGGGTGCAGCTGCAATAACACTGAAGAAGCTCAAAACCATCCTGGACAATGCAGCCTGCTTGATCAGCACCTCAGCCAAAATAAAATCATCCAGTGAAAATTACAAATAAGAAAGGAACAATCACTTTGGTGGGATTGTACTATAGGCCCCCCAATGGTAAGAGAGAAATTGAGAAGGAAATATGTAGGGAAATCTCAGATAGATGTAAGCAAAATAAGGTTGTAATAATGGGGGGATTTTAATTTTCCAAACATTGACTGAGAGTACCATGGTGTAAAAGGTTTGGATGGTGAAAAATTTGTCAAATGTGTTCAAGAAATGTTTCTTTATCAATATGTGGATGCTCCTACTAGAAAAGGAGCAAAAGTAGACCTTCTGTTGGGCAATAAGGCAGAGCAGGTGACTGAAGTAAAAGTGGAGGAACATTCTGGATCCAGCGATCATAATTCTATTCATTTCAAAATTGCTATTGGAAAGGATTTGCCTTCCATAAAAGTTAAAGCTTTTAATTCGAGCAAGGCAAATTTTGATGGAATGAGACAAGAACTTTCAAAAGTTGATTGGAGTAGACTGATCACAGGTAAAAGGACATCTGACAAGTGGGAGGCATTGAAGAGTGTGGTGACAAGAATTCAGAGGCATTATGTTCCTGTTATAGTGAAGGATATGGCTGGTAAGATTAAGGAACAATGGATGAATAAAGACAATGGGGTTCTAGTCAAGAATAAAAGAGAATCTTATTTTAGATATAGACAACTTAGTTCAATTGAATTTAATCAATCTAAAGAGTGTAAGGGCATTCTTAAGAGAGAAATCAGGAAGGCAAAGAGACGATATGAGTTAGCTTTGGCAGTTAAGGTTAAGGATAATCCAAAGAGATTCTACAAATACCTTAAGAGCAAGAGAGTAACTAGAGAGAGGGAAGGGCCTCTTAAAGGTCAAAGAGGTCATCTTTGTGTTGAACCCCAGGAGGTGAGAGAGATACTAAATGAATATTTTGCATCAATGTTTACGTGGAGAAAGAAATAGAGTCTAGAGAATGCAGAGAAATAAACTTTGATGTTTTAAAAACAGTTCACATTATAGAAGAGGAAGTTCAGGAGATCTTAGACAATATAAAGGTGGATAAATCTCCAGGACCTGATCTGATGTATCCCAGAATGTTGTGGGAAGTAAGGGAGGAAATTACAAGACTCCTTGAAGAAATATTTGCATCGTCTTTAACTACGGGTGAGGTGCCTGATGACTGGAGGGTGGCTAATGTTGTACTTTTGTTTAAGAAGGGTGTAAGGAGAAACTGGGGAACTGTAGACCTGTGAGTCTGACTTTGGCTGTGGGTAAATTGTTGGAGGTGATTATAAAAGATAGGATTTATGGACATTTAGAGAGGCTTAAATTGATTGTGGATAGTCAGCATGGCTTTGTGTGAGGAAAATTGTGTCTCACAAACTTGATTGAGTTTTTTGAGGAAGTTACCAAAAAGGTTGATAATGGCAGAGCAGCAGATGTGGTTTATTTGGATCTTAGTAAAGCCTTTGACAAGGTTCCGCATGATGGACTAATTAGTAAAGTTACGTCACATGGGATTCAGGGTGAGCTTGCCAATTGGATACATAATTGGCTTAATGGCCGGAGACAGAGAGTAACGGTGGAGAGTTGCTTTTCGGACTGGAGGCCTGCAATCAGTGGTGTGCCGCAAGAATCCATGCAGGGTTCACTGTTTTTAGTCATTTATATAAATGATTTAGATGTGAACATAGGAGGTATGCTTAGTAAGTTTGCAGAGGACACCAAAATTGGCAGCATTGTTGACAATGAAGAAGGTTTTCTAAGATTACAAAGCTATATTGATCAAATGGGTCAATGGCCTGAAAAATGGCAGATGAAGTTCAATCTGGATAAATGCAAGGTATTGCATTTTGTTACAACAAACAAGGGTAGGGCTTATACAATTAATGGTAGGGCCTTGAGTAACGTTGTAGAACAGAGAGACCCAGGGGTAAAGGTAAATAATTCTTTAAAGTTTGCATCACCTATAGACAGGATGGTTAAAACGGCATTAGGCATGCTTGCCTTCATTGCTCAGTCCTTTGAGTATAGGAGTTGGGACGTTATGTCAAGATTGTGCAGGACATTGGTGAGACCTCTTCTGGAATACTGTGACCAGTTCTGGTCGCCCAGTTATAGGAAGGATATTATCAAGCTGGAGAGGGTTCAGTAGAGATTTACCAGAATGTTGTTGGGTATGGAAGGTTTGAGTTATAAGGAAAGGCTGTATAGGCTGGGACTTTTTCACTGGGGCTTAGGATGTTGTGAGGTGACCTGATAGAAGTTCATAAAATAATGAGAGGTACACATAGAGTTGACAGTAGTTGTCTTTTCCCTAGAATGGGTAATTTCAAGACTAGGGGGTACATTTTTAAGGTGAGAGGAGAGGGATTTAAAAAAGACATAAAAGGCAAACTTTTTACATGAAGGGTGGTTTGTGTGTGCAATGAACTTCCTGATGAAGTAGTGGATGTGGGTACAATTACGTTTAAAAGACATTTGGATGGATGTATGAATAGGAAAGGTTTGGAGGGATATGGGCCAGGACCAGGCAGGTGGGACTAGTTTAGTTTGGGATTATGTTCGGCATGGACTGGTTGGATCGAAGGGTCTATTTCCGTACTGTATGACTGTATGACTCTAAGGGCAACAGATATTTACCTGTAATTACCTGTAATTTCCCCTCCAAGTCACACCACATCCTAACTTTGAAATATATCACTCTTCCTTCACAGTCACAGGGTTAAATTCTAGAACTCCCTTCCTCACAGTATTGTGGTCTTACCCTACATGGACTGCAGCAGTTCGAGAAGGTGCCTCATCACCATGTGTTCCAAAGCAGTTATGGATGGGTGATAAAGGCTGGCGTTGTTAATGACATTCACATTCCATGAACAAATAATATCATAACATGACTCCCACTACTTACCGCCTGGACGACATGCAGCCACCGCTGATATCCCAACAACTCTAATCTTACATTGCACCACTGCCCAACACAGACTAAAAGGGGAACAGACCCATCATTAGCAGCTTGAATGATCCTTGACTGTCAAACAGTGTTGATCCAATCTCCAACATTTCTATAATGGTTCAAAGAGAGTAAAATTGCTGTAAAGACTACATATATTTTTTGGAATATAAATGGGAGAAGGAAATGAAGCTTAGATTCTGCTGTTTTGCAGAGAATGTACCAGGTATGTTTAATTTGCCACTTGATAGCCAGAAGTGGAAATGTATGTTGTTCACTTCTTATTATAGAGTCATAGTGTTATACAGTACAGAAACAGACCCTTCTGTCCAACTCATCCTCGCAGACCAGATATCCTAAGTTAATCTAGTCCCATTTGCCAGCATTTGGCCCATATCCCTCTAAATCCTTCCCATTCATGTACCCATCGAGATGCCTTTTAAATTTTGTAATTGTACCCGCCTCCACCACTTCCCTTGGCAGCTCATTCCATGAGCACCCTCTGTGTGAAAATGTTGCCCCGTAGGTCCCTTTTAAATCTTTCCCCTCTCACCTTAAACCTACGGTCTCTGGTCTTGCATCCCCTGCCCTGGGAAAAAAGGCACCTTGGCTATATAAGGTTATATAAGGTCATGTAACTTTTGGAGAAGTTGTATTTACTGCTTTTGTGAGACAAGGTGCCACCATGTGCCTTCGGGTGGAAAAGCTGCCTAGCAACAGCTTTTGGATTTTTAAGTTGCAGTTTGTCAGTGACCTGGATACAGCAGTTACACTCTGACCTTCAGAAAGCCAGCAAACAAAAGCAGGCTGTTTCCCACCATCTGTCAGGGAAAAAGAGAAAACAGCATTGAAAGATTCTGTAAAGAAGAACTTCTAACTCAAACGCCTAAGCCTAACTGACCAGCTACCTGACTGAGGCTCAGCTATTGGTCTGCGGTCAACAAAAATCTGGTAACATTGCAAAAAGCAAAAAGGACTGAGAAAAAGTCAACTCATTACACCTTTGTGGTCTGGACTCTTGAGTCACTCTAAATAACCTACTTTTATCTCTGAAAGAAACCTGCAAACTCAGTCACCTTTTGGATAATTCTTCTTTCTAAAAGAACTTGCCACATTCTCTGTATCTCAGTGTCAGAGGATACCTTGTACTCATATGCAGCACTTTTTTTTCTCTCTAATGGAGTGGATGGTGGAATAGTGGGCCTTAATTATGAGTGCATAACTCCTATCACAGTCATAACAATAAAACCAAGTCCAGCTCTTTTTCCATTCACTCAAGGGATGTGAGGGCCACATGAACGCACAGTGGTTGAGAGAATAGACATCAACGAAGAAGCCCCTAATTGCCTTCATTCATGCGGTAATGATCTTTCTTACTGAACCACTGCAGCCTGTGTTCTGTACACAGACCCACAATGTCATTAGGGAGGGAGTTCCAAAATTGTGACCTAGTGACAGTGAAGGAACGACAATATATTTCTAAGTCAGGGTGGTGAGTGGTTTGGAGGGGAGGTTGCAGGCGATGGTATCCCACTCCATTGATCCATCTAGATGGTTGTGGGTTTGAAAGGACTATCTAAGGAGCCTTGGTGAATTTCTGCAGTGTATTTTGTAGGTGGTACACACTGCTGCTACTGAGCGTTGGTGGTAGAAGTAGTGGATGCTTGTAGGTGTGGTGCCAATCAAGCGGGCTTATTGAGGTTGTTGGAGCTGCACCCATCCAGGTAAGCAGGGAGTGCTCCATCACATTCCTGACTTGACAAGACTGGGGAGTCAGGAGGTGAGTTACTTAGGGTCATAGAAATGTACAGCACTGAAATAGACCCTTTGGTCCAACTCGTCCACCAGATATCCTAAATTAATCTAGTCCCATTTGCCAGCATTTGGCCCATATCTTGTAAACCCTTCCTATTCATGTACCCATCCAGATGTCTTTGAAATGTTATAATTGTACCAGCCTCCACCACTTCCTCTATCAGTTCATTCCATACACGCATCATTCTCTGTGTGAAAAAGCAGTCCCTTAGGTCCCTCTTAAATCTCTCCCCTCTCACTGCACGTTGCAGAATTCCAGCCACTGACCTGCTGTTGTAGCTATAATAGTTATATGGCTAGTCCAGATCAGTTTCTGATGAATGGTAACCCCCAGAATGTTGGTAGTAGGGAATTTGTTGATGGTAATTCCATTGAATGTCAAGGACGGATGGATAGATTCTGTCTTGTTGGAGATGGTTATTCCCTGGCACTTGTGTGGCACAAATGTTACTTTACACTTGTCAGCCCAAATCTGGACATTGATGTTGCAAGTTAGAATGATGGAAGGGCTCTTGCCCTGTCACCTCAAAATTGTGTCTATCACTTATCACCCTCTCTCCTGCTCTGCGGGATATATATATTATTCGCACCCACCTGTTGTAATATACAGAAAAGACATCTTCATTGAGAACATGTTGATCCAAGATTCTCTCAAACACCGGCTTTATGTTGTCAATAGCAATAGTCCGGAACCCCATGCCCAGGATCCCATCAAACTTGGCAAAGATAAAAGGATAAGCTGGCAAGGCAGTAGCTTCAGCAAATACTTGGATAACTGGGATATTGGCCACCTACCGGAATAAAAATCATGTTTTAGAAATCACAGGATATTGTTAGTCATGTTTCACACTGATGTCCGATGATGGGGAGCTAGAGACAGCGCAGGGAGCACAGGACGGAAAGACTGGATGAGGGGACATTGGCAGAGGTTAGTGAGTTAACTACTGTGCATCAATACATTCAGATCATCTGATTTTCTGAAACATATGTAGCATATAAGATTTTGAAGAGGTTCGACGCGTTAAATGCTGGGAGGATATTTCCTCTCATTGGGGATTCTGAACTAGGGGACAGACTTTCTGAATAAAGCACTTTGCATTTAAGACAGTGAGAATTTCTTCTTTTTGAGAATTTGTAATTCCCTAACTTCAGTGAGCACTGGAGGCTGGGTCATTGAATATATTCAAGGCAGAGATAGACAGATTTTGGATTGACAAGGGACTTGAGGGATATAAGGACAGGAAGGGGAAGTGTAAAGGCCACGATCAGGTCAGCCGTGATTGAACTGAGTGATGGAGCAGGCTCAAGGGGCTGAATGGCCTACTGCTTGCTCCTATTTATTGTGTTTGCATTTTAAAGGAGCAGTCCATCTTTTCGAAGGCACAGAGTGCTGCTAATTTATTACAGGAACACCACAGGGAGAATAACACAAATGACTGAGTGAACAGGATCTTTAAACAATGCACGGTAAATAATGTTACTGTTGATACATGAACAGGAATTAATCTTCTATTTCTCACCATTACAATATCTTGACTAAGGATTCCCTTCACATTGCCAGATCCATATTGAATAGCAAACCCTTGCCCATTGGCCTCATATGTTCTTGAGGTGGAGGAGTCATATCTGTTGTGGGAAACTGCAAAGAGCCAAAACAAGGCACAGACATTTTAATTTTAGACAATTTCACTACTTTCCTCTTGTCATAGTTTTAAGATTCTGATACATGTAATTGTAAACTTGGTTTATAGCACCATCCAGTGGCAAATCAAATTCTGTGTTAAATTGAAACATAATGTTGTATTTTTTTAAATTCTGTTCAGTTCTATTCCTTGCCGTATCCTTAATTTTTCACCTTCTTTCATCTCCTATTTTGCTTTTCACTGTTGCATATTTTTCTCTTGTTTCTTCTAGTCTTAAAAATGTCTTTACTTTCTAAATCTTTAACTTTTTTCTCTTGTTTCTTCTCATCTTAAAAATGTTCTTTCTTAAAATCTTTAACTTTTTCTCCTATCTTTTCTAGTCTTAAAAATGTCTTTATTTTTTAAATCTTTAACTTTTTTCTCTTGTTTTCTCTAGTCTTAAAAATGTCTTTATTATCTAAATCATTAACATTTTTCTCATTTTCTCAATGATACATTTTTCCCTGAGAATTTCACTCCTGCCCAGCCTCTGATTGAATCTGCAGCAAATTCCAGATCTATTGATCTTTGCAAGGTTCTTGCAGGAGGAAATTGGTGGTTGTGTCAATTTTGCAGGCTTCTCAGGAGTTTAGCTCAGAGATTGTTCAACATGGTGGTGATAGATTTGCACCAATCTGTAAGTGTAGGAACATAGGAACAGGCGTAGGCTATTCAAATTCATCCATCATTCAATGGAATCATAGCTGATCCATGGCCTAACTCCATAAACCTTCCTTTGGCTTATATCCTTTAATACCTTTGCTTTATACCAAAATTTTATTTATCTCAGATTTAAAATTAATAACAGATCCTACAATTCACAGCCATTGGTGGAAGAGAATTTCAAACGTCTACTATATTTTGAAGTACTTCCTAAATTCTCTCCTGAACTTTCTCAGACTATGCCCCCTAGTTAAAGTGATATTTCATTAGATGGTGATCCAACTTGTGAAGGAATTCTCACTGGAGTGCAATGGTGAGTCTATCTATAAATTACCTTACATTCATATAGAGGACACTTACAGCAAGCTGTGTAAATGGGTGAACAGTTGGCCGATGGTATCCAGAGGTTGGCTGAGCCTGTGTCGAAAATGACTTTGAAGTTCTGTGGAGGGGTCCCGATACTGATCTCCCCAAAGTATTGGGTCTGAAAAGGACGACACAATGATAACAAAGACCCGGTGACAATTCAAACTGCTTCATAGCCAAATGATTGCTTTTGAAATTACACTTCACCTGACGAAGGAGCAGCGCTCCGAAAGCTCGTGATTTCAAATAAACCTATTGGACTATAACCTGGTGTTGTGTGATTTCTGCCTTTGTCCACCCCAGTCCAACACCAGCGCCTCCACATCATCCTTTTGAAATGTTATCACTGCAGGAAAGTTGGCAGCCAATTTACATTGAGTAAGGATCCACAAACAGCATTTGTGTTATTTGAGCAGTTAATGTGTTTTTCAGGATATCAGTTGAGGAAAGTGTATTGACCCAGGATATACAGCATGTATAATAATGCTGCAGTATCCTTTAATGTCCACCTGAGGGAGCAGATTGGAGCAGGGTTTAACATTGGAGCTGTCAAAAAGAATCTCCAGCAGAGCTTAGTGAGTGCATCTGAAATATGTGTTCAAATCTCTAGAGTGGGATTTGAACTTACTACATTCTATTTAATAGGGACAGAATTACAGGGGGAATGCTGGCACAGCACTGACTGTGTAATCCTAGGCTAATCAGCTGGAACTAAAAACATGAGCTCAAACCCTACCCTGGGAAATTAAATAAATCTGAGATAAAAAGGCAGCATCAACAATGATGTCCATAGAACAACCGGCCTTCTGTGAAAATTTACCTTGTTCATCAACGTTCTTTCAGGAAGGAGATCTCCCAAGCTTACCTGCTCTAGCCTACACTTTTTTTGCTTTGATTTATTATTGTCACATGGACCTACGTGAAAAAGTTTTGTTTTGTGTGCCGTACAGACAGATCATACCATACAAAGTGCTTTAGGGTAATAGAACAGAGCAATGAATACACTGTACAGCTGCAGAGAAGGTGCACAAGAAGTGAGGTCAACATTTAAATTTAAAATTTAAGAGGTCCATTCAGAAGTTTGATAACAGTGGGGAAGAAGCTGTTCTTGAATCTGTTTTTACATGTTTAGGCTTATCCACTGTAACATGATTGACACAAATTCTTTATTCTTTCATGGGATATGGGCATCATTGACAAAGTCAGTAGTTTTCCTTCATTCACTCACAGGATGTGGGCACTACAGGCTGGCAATTTATTTCCCATCCCTATCTGCCCCGAGGGCAACCGCATTGCTGTGGGTATGGAGTCACATGTAAACAAGACGAGGTAGAGATGGCAGTTTCTTTGTTTTATTCATTTATGGAATCACGGGTTGGACCATCATTTATTGCCCATCCTTAATTGTCCAGAGTGGAAGTTAGGAGTCAAGCACATTGCTGTGGTTTTGGAGTCACATTGAGACACGACCAGGTAAGGACAGCAGTTTTCTTCCCTAAAGGACACTAGTGAACCTGATGGGTTTCACCATTCCCAGCAGTGACTTCTATTTTCAGAGATTACTGCTGCATACAGACCTTGGTGATTCAAGCAGAAGGATTCCATGGGTTGAGCACTCTTGGGGGGAGGGCATTCCTCCTCATCTCTGTCTTAAATGGATGAACCCTTTCTTTATTTCCTCATTAGAGAGAAAGAAAGATGACAGGTGGGGACTTTAATCTTAGGGTCACCAAGTTTCAGACAAGAGGCAGGGCTTTTTTGGCTACCTTGGCCAATATAGGAATTAAATATTCATTGTTCATGTCACTTTGCATAACAAGTCAGCTGGTCAAACCAACTGAGCTAACTGCACCCCCTGCCCCAAAATCTGCATAAACATGATGAACAGTACACAACATCGATACCTGTTTGTTCCCTTGTTTCAGCTTGTAGTCTGTTTATTCCCAATTCTTGCATTTTTAAATTCAAATCACATTTAAATAGTGGGAAGGAAACAAAGTTAGCCTTTCGAGTCCGGCGACCTTTCATCAGAACACAGTGGCCGGGCTCAAAACATGAACTCTGTTTTCTCTCCACAGATGCTGTCAGAACTGCTGAGTTTCTCCAGCAGGTTTTGTTTTTGTTTCTGATCTCCAGCATCCAAAAGTTGGTTGTTTTGTTCTTATCACATTTAATTATTGTCTACAAACTGAAAATGGGAGAGAATGGATCTGGTTGATTGAGGTCAGGGGCCATACATAGTCCTTAATGAACAGCAGGTTAAAAAGCACAATCCCTATCATTATTCCTCTCCACCTCATCCCCTCAGAATGAAGCTTAAGAAGGAGGACTGCACACTTACATCCAGGTAATTGGTAAGGATGGTCGGGGCTGTTCCATTGTTCGTCTTCATTAGAAAGTCCCTATTAACTTCAGGCGAGACATCCGACACTTTCAATCCAAGTTGCCGCAGTGACTGGCGGATGGATGGCATTTTATGGAGAGGGATCCTTTGGAGACAGGAATGGTTCAAAATGAGTGTAGGGCAACAACTGAAACCTCTTAGGTGAGCTAGAACAGGTCATTCAGCCACTTGTTGCAATGTTTCGACAGAACAAGTACATTCCATGTAAGATAACAAGGTGCAGAGCTGGATGAACACAACAGGCCAAGCAGCATCATAGGAGCAGAAAGGCTGACGTTTCGGGCCTAGACCCTTCATCAGAAA